AAAATACAGTTGGTGGGCATGATTGGTTTTACAGCACTTGAAAAAATATTATCCACCAACAATCAAATATATGGCATAGGCATAATAAAATAAAACCTTTAACGGAATATTAAAATGCAGCTTCATTTATCTTTTCACAGTTAAACTAAATTGCTTGGACTTAATAAAGTCTTTTGATCTGTGTTGTAAGAAGCTTGCCGGTATGGGGGCCAAATGATTTGTTATGTTGGGGAAAGTGCCAGAATGTGCAAAAGCTTTTGTGTGTACAGTACCTCTGTTCTTCTTTGACTGATTCATTTTCCTGGGATTGATATCAGCAGGTATTGGTGCCTCCAGTCAAAGTTGATTTGTTTTCTGAATGGCATGGAGAGTTTCCAGGCCTGAGCTGTTAGCATTGCTCCTAGGAGGGTGGAAAAACAGGTCAATAAAGCTCTCATTAGGATAAAAAATAGTAACATTTGCAGGAATTATGAATAGCTTATTGATGGAGTTTACCAGCACAGAAGCTAATTTCCAGGAAATCTTGTAGCATTTTTAAAAAGGTGCTATGTTGCCTCTCTCACTGAATTTTGGGTTCATCATCCATACAACGTACACAAGATATGAGGAATAACAAATGTTAAGTCTTCATAAATAGCTCAATTTTCATCCTACGCATTGTGGTTCCTGTGCCAAGTATGTCACCATAACCTTTTTGTATAATGACTTCTAATCTTCCTGTTTAGCAATTAGTAAATGTTAAATGTCAAATTAAGGTAAAATTAATGAGAAGGGGGAATGTTGTATTTATTAGCTTGCGACTGTCTTTAACTAGTAATGCATATAGGCGCTTTCTGAATACTGCAAATGGCTATAGATTAGGCATCAAATGATTGTGAAGATTAATGAATGGTCTTCTAGCTTGCTAATTTAAAGAAATATCTGGTCATTTATTATAAAGTATTAGCTTACCAGCTGCAAATGTCTAGAAGGAAATACAAAATGAACAGTTACAGGTATGTGTGAAAGTTGCTTGCCTACCTTCATAGTCTCAAAGTTATTTCAAATTTACCTTTTGAATTTTTTTTCTCTGTAAGAAAATATCTTCCTTTTGAGAGAGCTAGTTTTAGACATATAAAAAGTAAAGGGTTCAAAATGACTTTTCAGAGAGTAGATAATGGATTGGAAAAAAGTTGCAAGCTAGATAGCAACCATCTATTTATTTATTTACTACATTTATATATCTGCTTTTCCCCCCTAAGGGAACCCAAAGCAGTTTCTGACAGTATGAAGGCAAAATTCAATGCTGTACACACAGGTGAAACCAAAAGATAATAGCAAGACAATAACATATAACTTATAAATTTACCTAGCCAAATTAAAACATAAACATAAAATAACATTAAGACATGAAGCATTAAAAATTAAACATCAATGATATATTTATATTAAAACCCACTGATAAACAACATGATTTAAAAACAGTTATTAAAATCATGCCATCCAAGATCAAGTCCATAGTCATGCCATTGGTCCATTCACTATTCCTTATTATCTTATCGCACTATGAGTTTTGCTGTCCGAAAGCTTGATCACATAACAACGTTTTTACTTGATTCCTGAATGTCAGGAGGGAGGGGGCTGCTCTAATTTCACCAGGGAGGGAGTTCCATAGCTGAGGGGCCACCACTGAAAAGGCCCTGTCTCTCAACCCCACCAGTCGTGCTTGCGAGGAAGGCGGAATCAAGAGCAGGGCCTTCACATTAATATGTAGTTAGCACATAATTCTGTACTAGGGTGTATTTTCCTATCGGTAACAACTATAATTCAACATAAGCACTATTTAAGTGTTAAATGGAGCAAATTTAATAGAAAATTAGATGACCTTCTTCCTAATTGGTTCCAACAAACTCTATACCCATGGTCTTAAGGTGTGTCTTTGCAACCTATGTATCATTTGTTCTTTTGTTTTTTAATTGACAATCAAACCAGGTCTCGTAAACCTGGCAAATTAAATATTAAAATCAAATTTGTTCCGGCAACCCATTTTTCAATTTTGTATTTTTGATCCAATTCTAACATTGAAATAATGAAAAACTCTGCCTTGTTAATTTTTGAATTCTGATTCAAAATCAAATAACATATTTTGGTTTTTATTTTTGATGGTTAATTGAAAAATGAAAGAACGAGTGATACACAGATACATATGGTCCTCAGTGTTTTATAATTCTAAATAAGATAACCGTTAGTGTTATTTTCCTGTTCATATGTTTTGAATTTAGAAGTTAAGGTGAGCATTTAGTAGGGAATAATATCTAATGTTTCAAATGAATGTAGATATATTTAACCTTCCAGACAGAGTTTTTCTTCATTTTATGTGGTCTTCAAATATGAAAGGCAGAGTGGTTTTGCTGACCGAAAGGTTGGCAGTTTGAATCCTGGGAGTGGGGTGTGCTCCCATCTGTCAGCTCCAGCTTCCCATGTGGGGAAATGTGAGAAGCCTCCCACAAGATGGTAAAACATCTGAGATTCCCCTGGGAACATCCTTGCAGATGGCCAATTCTCTCACACCAGAAGCAACTTGCAGTTGCAATCTCTCCTGACATGAAATAAATATATGTAAAAACATTATTTTTATAATACTAGATATGTTTAGCAGAGACTTGACCCAGATTAGGTAAGGTTTCCCCTTAACATTAAATCCAGTTGTGTCTGACTGGTGGGGTGGTGCTCATTTCCATTTCTAAGCCGTAGAGCCAGCGTTGTCTGTAGATACCTCCAAGGTCATGTGGCCAGCATGACTGCATGGAGTGCCATTACCTTACTGATGAAATTGTACCTATTAATCTACCCACATTTGCATGTTTTTGAACTGCTAGGTTGACAGAAGCTGGGGCTAACAGCGGGAGCTCACTCTGCTCCCTGGATTTGAACCACCGACCTTTCGGTCAGCAAGTTCAGCAGCTCAGCGGTTTAACCCACTGCGTCACTAGGGCGCAGAATAATGCAAAGGTTTTTTACACCATATTTGTGAATACATAAAAGAGTTGTTTTGATTACCAAACCTAATCTCAGTTTTTATAAAAACTTGTAATATAAATGACTTAATAAATAAAAACATGATAATTGGAGGTTAATTTTATTTCCAAAAGCTTGTCACAATCATTTTCCTTTTCTTTGTTATATGTAGTATGTTATGAGGAAGAGACTAGTGATTGGCATATACTTTGTTGCTAAGGAATCTATAATTAAGTGTTAGGTAGTTTTTCTTGTGATTCATGCACCAGTTAGACCAGCCTTGTCCATCATGGTACCTTCCTGTGGGTTGTAATACATTACCCATCATCTCCACCATAGTCAGCCCACCTAGACAGTAGGATAACACATCTGAAAGGTACTGGTTTGGAGAAGTCTTTGCCAGAACAATGCCTTTTTCGTAAGATTCAGCTTCAGGATATGTAATATGTTACTGAATTGTGTACATGAATTTCTTTGCCAAACACTTAGTGCTCTGAGACTGGTTTTCGTAAGAGAATATTTAATGCTGCAGATACCAAGTTAGCTGATGAAAAACTCTACAGTGCTTAGGGCATCACTTTGGGTAATGAATCTTGGAACCCTGAACTATAAATCTCTCAACTCATTTTCGTCAAAAGGAATGTGAAAATATATTACTAACATAGAAAAGAGGGGCTGAACTAAACTTTGTGTACCGTAAGAATGCTTGATGCCAACTAGCAACAAATATTGCTGCACTTTGGTTTAATAAACAACCATTACCTTGTGTTCAACTGAAATAGTTTGATATCTAGTTATTTAGATGTGTCATGTTAATTTCACCTCGTTTCTTTTCTATGATGCTGTCAATGGTTTATGCAATATGAACAACTCAGATTTTCATCCGGAAGATTCTTCATATTATGTTGATATCATCATGTCTCCTGGATTGTTAATGTAGTATTTTGTGTTTACACATAGATGGTGCTTTTATACATAAACACGTGTATTTGGTTGGTTTTGGGGAAGTTCCTTTTGCATTACTGGGAGTAAGAATATAAGTTTAATTAATTTCATTATTCAGTGTAGTTATCAGCATAGGGCTTCAGGAAAGTATATTAAAATTGAGTTACTCTGTGAGATTCTAACCTTGACACAGCTAGTGTATGCTTTAATATTCTTATCAGTATAATAATGGACTAATAATGACAAATATCAAATTAAGAGCTAAGATTTTGAGTCTAGAATGTGGACATTATGATATAGAAACCATGCTTCTTTTTCCTAATGAGGCAGATAGTTGTGTTTTCTTACGAAACCTTAAAATATAAAAGCTGTATTTTGGGAATGTAATCTCATTGAGTTTCTTTCATGACAGTTTAACACGTTAATGTCTTTGAGAAGTAATGGAACAGATTTATGTTAACAGCCTATACATTTCGCTCTGCCCCATTTTGTTGAGGGTCTTTGTATTAATGTACATGCAGCCATTGTTATCCAACTATCTATCTAGTTCCTCCACATCCATGAAAGGGAGATCTTTGATAGAGAGCTGCATTCTTCATATATGGACTATCATCCCTGATATGAACCATGACTGCATATGTAACGTGTGAGAAGACAAGGCTGACCCTAGGAAAAATGACCTGATAGTAATGACCCTGTATTCTTTCTTAAATCTGATTTGAGTTGTGTTATTTGAATGACCCATTTTGGTTTGAGTTGCCAATATTTTAAGACTACTTTCAACGCTGATTCCAGATTCTACCATTCAGCATTGTGTCTGCAGAAAACAGTGTGGGATCTTTGTTCCTGAGAATTGAAAATTTAAAATACAGTGATTTTTATTATCAATCAATTGATAATATACAAGTCAGCATTAATCTGTTTTGTGGTACACTATGATAATATTACTCTGAAACTTGTACATATTGGAATGGCCAGTTGGGGCAGATCACTTTATGTCAAAACTTGTAGGATCCTTTAAAACTTTATTTACCCAATTGGAACTCTTAATTTTATAGGTATCCTTTGAAATGCACAAAGAAAACCTTTCTCAAATGTTCAGGGAATATCAGGAGAAAGAAGATGAAGAGTGTGGTGTTGGTCCATCCACCGTAATTAGAACTGTCTCAGGCACTAGTAGAGAAGTTGAAGTTGCAGCAAGGCAACAACATTTGGAAATAAAAGAAATTGATATTTCTAGAAATGATGTTGGACATGATGATGTCAAAAACAGTACTCTAAGAGGTGAGGAGGAATCATCTGATTTTGCAGAACCAACCAATTCAAAAGTGAATGAAGAAAATGGTCAGGGATCCTCAGACGTAAACACAGACACTCGCTTAGAATTTCCCGTATCAACTGAAACCATTCAGCAGAATTCAGGAGCTACTTCAACTGGAACAATTGAAACAAACCACAAGGAGGAAAGTGTAACTGTTTCTGAAGCACAGACACCTTCAGAAAATACAGATGGAGAGACACTTGAAAGCCCAGAGATATTAGAAAAGCTAACACCAGAAGTGGAGGAGGAAGAAGAAGATTTTGTTGATTTAAAAGAGGAGAGCAACCTACCATTTACCTCAGAGGAATCTGTTCCTAAAACTAATGAAGAACACACCACAGAGGAAATCCAGATAGCACAACCAATAGCACCATTGAAAGAATCTATTTTAACGGATTCAGAATCCAAAAGTGTTGTGGCATCTGCTGAAACACAACAAGAGCCAGATTCCTTGTTGGCAATCAGTGCTTCCGAAGTAAGTGATGGAAAAGATCAACCAAATTCAAATGCCGTGGAGAAGACAAGTGAAGAAAATACTGATCATCCCCAAAGTAAAACAACTACTGATAACATGCCTCCCAATACTTCAGAAATGATGGCTTCAGAAAAGAAAATTGCTAAACTTGATGTTTCCAGCGTTGCCTCAGATACCGAAAGATTGGAGTTAAAGTCAAACACAACACTGGAAGTAAATCAGCCTGTTAGGTCAATTCCTGAGGTATGTTTTGCACCAGCATTAATTGTTTAATTAGTCTAAAATGTTTATCAAATTATAAAGTTTTATGGTTTTTAGGGCTTTATTACTTTCCCCCACCCAGTCTCTTTTCAGTAGATATATGTTTTATAATGACTACCATTGCTTAGTTGCAAAAAAACCCATAGCCTAATCAATATTTAAAACTTCGTAGAAATACACCAGCTTATTAGGCAAGTGTATCATGTTGATCACAAAGTGTATAACATAGATTGCCATGCAATAATATTCGCCAATAAATTAAAACTGCAACAAGCAAAATATATTATTTACTCATCAACCTTCATCATTCATGTCAGGGATGCTAAATGATTTGATAGTAAAAAGTGATATACCTAAGTGCTTCCTTCCTACAGAGACATCTTCCAATGGGTTACCATCATTCCACACCATACTTCCTCAAAGGAGGTAGATCACATTCAGCAGCAATATATGCACCCTATGTGGTAAGGCCTAGCTGCTGCTTATCCATGTTTTGGCTGGCAGAGATGGTGGCGTTATTGCTCTGTAGTGTGTAGAATTTATATAATTAGTCACCATTTTGAAGTAGTCATCAGACTTTATTGTCGTCACTAGAGTTAGTCATTCCCACATGTTTTTAGGTATGAACAGTTTTCCTGAACTTAGATTTCTCTTAGAATTTTTCAGTTTGAAATCAGCTTGTTTTTTAATGTATATTTTATTTATGAAGACATCTAGGCAACAAGAACCATCAGGTCAAAGTATAGGAGCTGTGTCAGATGGACAAAGGAGGGATTCTAGGTCTACCATGTTCCGTATTCCTGAATTTCGATGGTCACAAATGCATCAACGGTTGCTCACAGACCTCCTCTTTTCAATAGAAACAGATGTACAGATGTGGAGAAGGTAATGCACTCTATGAAAACTGGTGTGTGCTCTATGAAATATTACAAAATTGTTTTTCTCCATTTCCAAATTTGTCAATACCCAGAAGCAATAGGTTATTGCTTTTCCATCTATTTTTTGTTTTGGTCTAAATCAGGCTTGGGCATTTTTTTTTGCCTTGTGGCTGCATTGCCAGCCGGCTGGGAGGGCCGGGTTGGGAGGGAGGGGGGCCATTCACATGTTGAGTGGACCCATGAGAGGTAGGGCCTGGGAAACGTGGGCCAGGAGGGGGCTGGACCTGGGTCATCCTCAGGTTGTTCTCCCAGCAAAAGGATGGGACTGCTTGCCCTATCCTTATGTTGGGAGGAAGGTAGGACACATCCTCCCCCAATCCTTGTGCTGTCCCCTTGGCATTATGGCAGGAGAAGGGTGAAACAGGCAGCGGTTGAGAGTGCTCCGGAGGACTCTCAGCCACCACATGCCTCCCTTGAGTTGTCCTCCTGGCATAAGGATGGGCCACTTGCTCTCTGCTGCTGTGTAGCTTCCTCCCCCATCTTTTTGACTGCTGTGTCCTTATGTCAGAGGACAGGGAAAATGAGAAGGGCCTGATGTAATTACCCAGAGGGCCACATCCGGCTCCCGGGTCTTAGTTCACCTATGCCTGGTCTAAATTGAGTATTTGGTTTTAGTTGTAGTAAATTAGATACATTAAAAAGAATGGAACCCATGGAAGTGGTGACTAAGGAGTCCTAAGTATTTCCATGAAGCTACTCAATTTGAAACTAAATGTAGCCCTTTGTTCCATAATGCATAAAGGATGCTGTTTTTGAAAAACACAGTTCAACATATTTAAAAGTAATTCCTTGTGCAATACACATGCTGGGAGCAGAAACTATAAAGTTTTCTAAGAAGGAGGCCCTACTCTTAGTCCCACCCCCATCTCAAGCATGGCTAGTGGGAACGAGAGAGAGGGCCTTCTTGGTAGTCGCCCCCTGCCTTTGGAATGACCTCCCCAAGGAGACAAAAATAGCCCCCCCCCCCACTCTCCTTTAAGAAACAACTTAAAACATTGTTATGCTTTCAAGCATATAATGTGAAAGAGGTATAAAGCTCATAGCACAAATTAAATGGAACGGAAAAGAACTGATATGATACTTTACCTCGGCTGGTTTAAAAAACATGTTTTTAATGATAATTATTTAATACTGTTTATTTTAACTTACTGTACAATGTTTAAAATGGTCTTTTGTTTAAATGTTATTTTTTTGTTTATATAGACATTGAATGTTTCCCTGTTACCATGTTTGAAACCACCCTGAGTCTCCATGGGGAGATAGGGTGGGATACAAATAAAGTAGTTATTATTATTATTATTATTATTATTATTATTATTATTATTATTATTATCTCCCTTTGTTTGTTGCTCTGTCTTTTAAGTATAAACAATTATTTCATAAAGCATACCATTGGGACTGAATTAGACATGTTACAGGTGCCCTAGAGAAAGCCATGGATGGAAGTCAATGTGTTAAATTTCCTTATATTTTCTATATCTTTAAAATAAGTATACTCAAAAGACAAAGCTTATGAGTTCTTTGCATGATACTGGTTTCCTCTTAAGAGACTTGAGTTCAGATCTAGTTTATATCTCAAGGGGAACTTAACACTGATGATTTATACAGTGTCTTTTGCTGCAGTAGATAATCAGACTTCATAATAATAAATAATTATTCACCACACACTTAGACACAGTTGCCAGTTGGTGTTCTGGAGAGGATTAGAAGCATAAGGAAAGGGCATTTTCAGGTCAAGACAAAGGTGCATTGACAGTTGAGGATACTGATCTGTGGTTCTTGGCTCCAGGAGACATTCTGGCTCATTTAGCTAAATAAGGGCATAAAAATTACTTTCTAAAAATACAGCTGAAGTTACCTGTGTTCTGTGTTTTTTATGTTGTGTTTTGCTTTTTGGCTAGCCATTCCACCAAGACTGTGATGGACTTTGTGAATAGCAGTGACAATGTCATCTTTGTACATAACACAATTCATCTCATCTCTCAAGTAATGGATAATATGATTATGGCTTGTGGTGGCATATTGCCTTTGCTTTCTGCTGCTACATCAGCTACGGTAAGAAATGGAGTTTCTAATGTAGAAGTGATGCTTTCTAGGAGGATGCCTTTCATATAGTGGTTTGACTCTCATGTTCTGGGGAAATTGTTTACTGCTGTGCTGGGACAAGAAAAGGGAACTGTATGAGGAGCAAAGCCAAGCAAATTAGTGGTGCTATCTTAACCTCACTGTGACCTTCTGGATTTCTGAGTAGACCTCCCTCTAGTCCAGTGGTTCTCAACCTGTGGGTTCCAGATGTTTTGGCCTTCAACTCCCAGAAATTCTAACAGCTGGTAAACTGACTGGGATATCTGGGAGTTGTAGGCCAAAACACCTGGTATCCACAGGTTGAGAACCACCACACTAGTCCAATTCAGTCCTATTTAGGAGAAGAGGAGCCTAGATTTGGCCTCTTTCCTTTCTGTTCCAAATGCCCATACTTCTTATAGTGTTCTGACTGAGCTTGATGGTTTCAGGCTAAATACATAAATTGTTTCAGGCTAAATACATAAGACTTTTAGTCAGTTGTAAGAAGGAAATTTAGACTGCACCCTCAGATTAGAAGTGGTGGCCCATTTTGTATTTTGCATTACCAGCCCCATCTGACCTCTTCCTACTTTTGCAAATGGCCATGCTTTTTAACACAACTGCTGCATCTGCTTATATTTAGTAAAGGTAAAATAGAATAAATCAAAGTTCTGGTAGAAGCTCTGTAGCAGTTCCTCGAGGTCTGGGGACATTTTTCATTCTTAGCCTTTCTTCCATTGTTGACATAAATAAAATGTTTTAACACCAACTTGTTTCGCATATGATGCTAAATTGTGTTTTGGCTGTCTTTGTAAGGGGCTTACCAGTTCCCCTTCTGTACCTTTCAGACCACAGATCTATCAACATTGTTTTCCATTTCTTTCAAAAAGAGAAGATATAATTTCAATTTTGTTAGAGATTGTTCTCACACTATGTATCTATTTTCTTGAAGTAATTAATTTACAATTTTCCTTTTATGACATTTCATCAAATTAATTTATTCATTCTCGCCTTTTTATCCAGTCTGGGCTTCCAGGTGTTTTGGACTTTAGTTCCCAGAATCTCTGCTCATTGGCTTCTGGGAGCTGAAGTCCAAAATACCAGGGGGGCTAGAGTTTGGGAATCGTTCTTTTTCATCAAAGCTGTGACTCAGACACACATTGTTCATGGATAAATGTGTAATGACATGCTTTGGTAATTTTACAGGAACTTGACCATATAATTGTTGTGTACCTTCAAGTCATTTGTGACATATGGCTACCACAAGACAAACCTAATGGGGTTTTCTTAGCAGAATTTGTTTAGAGGAAGTTTGTCCTTTCCTTCCTCTGGGGCTGGGAGAGTATAACTTGCCCAAAGCCACTCAGTGGGTTCCTATGGCCAAGCAGAGAGGCAAAACCTGGGGTCTCTGTGTTCTAGGCACAATGGGTTAAACCCTTGTGCTGGCTGAACTGCTGACCTGAAGGTTAGCTGTTGGAATTCATGAGATGGGGTGAACTCTTGTCTGTCAGCTCCAGCTTCCCATGTAGGGAAATTAGAGAAGCCTCCCACAGGCGTCCCCTGGGCAATGTCTCTGCAGACGGCCAATTCTCTCACACCAGAAGCGACTTGCAGTTTCTCAAGTCACTTCTGACATGATAAAAAAAGTTCAACAATTAATCCACTATACTGGATTTCTCATTTCTTTGTAGAAAATATTGACTATTTATACCCCCATTATCTATAAAACATTGGGAGTCACAAAAATGTAATTGTAATACAATCAAATAAAAAAACCCTAAAATCACAAATATCAGTACAGCGGGGGAGAAAGCATAATACTGCAGCAGCAAATTTGTAAAATAGCGAGGGCAGAAATTTAGTTAATCATTTTTTTTAAATCAGCACATGTTGTAGTTATCTGAGTATATAGTGGATGTATTTGTTGTGTAGTACAGTCAGATAATATAGAGCTGATGGAAATTTTTCAACTGACATTTAATGTTAATCTTCACTTTCCAATGTATGTTTTGGACTATTGATTCGATTTTATCCCTCCTTTTCTTTGGTCTTGTGACCATGCTCAAATAAAGTTACAAAGGTTACTAGCTCCCAAGCAAATGGCTACAGCCTTTGGCTAATGCATTCTAGCATGTTAGAAAATAAACTGCTCTTCATTTAAATAAAGCTTTCTGGTGTGTGGTCATTTGGAGATAACTGACAATAGAAATGGTTACATTGGTCTTTGGCATTTCTGATGAGTGTTCAAAAAGCTACTTCCAATTTACAGTCACCAAATGATAGTATTATTAGGTTATGATAATGGATTATTGGGAAACCTGTAGAAATGAAGGCTATTTTTAATGTTTCATTATGCAGCATGAATTAGAAAATATTGAGCCAACTCAAGGACTGTCAATAGAAGCGTCTGTTGCATTCCTCCAAAGATTAATTAGCCTTGTGGATGTACTAATATTTGCAAGCTCTCTTGGTTTTACTGAAATTGAATCAGAGAAAAATATGTCATCTGGTGGAATTTTACGACAGTGTCTTCGCCTGGGTAAGAAAAAAAGAATTGTTTAGCTTTACTGCACATTTTGATGGATAATTATTTTAGAATATTTACATGAAGGTAGCCTCAGTTGTGGTATGAAACACAATGTAATTAATTATAATATTACTTAAATTCTAAGTACTAATTCCATGCAGACTACAGATATAAGATGGAAGGTTGCTGTCAGATACCAGCATAGACAAAATATCTTTCTAAGGTTTCTTAGGTAACCTAACAATCTGTCAACCGAAGACATCTGCCAATAGTATTCCTATCCTAAGGTGTCTTTGTAAGAATTATTTGATATAATATTAGTGAATCACTTGGATTACTCCACATTTGAGCCCCTGAAAACATCAGACCAAAATAACAACCTCTTTTGTGGGCTAAAGGCATCAGAGAATGATATAAGAAATATCCTTGTTTATGACAGGGCTCCAACTTTGGAACTCTCTACCATAGGAAGTTTGTTGGTGCCAAAATTGTATCAATGCTAGGTTTAGTCATTTTTATATGCCCATGTGTTTCTTTCAATAACATTCAAACATATGTATTTTGGCATTTAAATAAATATTTTTGATGTCAGCTGAAATATTTGCCCCTCTATATTTACATTTTATGGGTACAATTGATTTTTTAAAATATACATAACTCAGAAATCCCCTCTGGAATGAAGGGATAGTGTGGCACAAATTTAAAAATACCAGCCTAAAATCCTGTATAATAAATAAAATATATTCTTCCATAAAACAGAAGGATACGAGGATTTTGGTTTTAAATTTTTGCACTGAGACAATAGCCTATAATGACGATATGCCATTGTAGTGACACAGGGAAGCATTATCGTATGTTGTACATCCATGGTTGTACTTAATGAGAGCTCTTAACTTATCCTTTGTGACTCAGATACATATACACATTAGATTGAATTCAGCCTTTCCTCTATGAAGATAGAATCTGTTGCATTGGCCAACACACATTTTAGTGCCTCAAATATTAGACCTGTTTCTTGGTATATTTGATCTGCTGATTACAAAATGGACCAGTTTCCCTCTATCACCTCTAGTTTTTGAGATACAGAACATATACCATCTGCTTGCCCATCATGATAACCGTATCTAAGAAACTAGAGCTGATGTGGTCTGTCCAATGCAATGTTCTTTATTAGCACCCCAAATAACCACAGGAACAGGCCTAAAAACCAAGACACGAAGACATTTTTTGTTGACCTGTGTTATTGCATAGGCAATTTCCACTAATTCTCTTTGCTACTCTGAAAACTATCTTTTCAGAAGATATGCAGGAAGAAGGATAAGCCGCAAAAAATTTGCCTTCCCCTTTCATCCAGAATGAGCATTTCACAATTGCTATTGCAGGCATGGAAAGTCTAGTTTCTAGCCAAAGTGAATTAAAATATTAATACAAACTCTAGTGACATTTTACATTGCTCTATAAGGAATAAAATGGTCCATTGAAGTTATTATATGTTTCTTTAAAATAACTTGATTTGGGGATGGAAGAAGATGGAATTCTTCTTGCTTTGAGATGTTATTCTCATATCCTGCCCTTCTTAGTTTTGTTTAGATTAGAACTGCAACATTTGAGATTCATTTTTCTTTTTTGCAATAAATCCTCAAATGATCTTTTAAGTGTGTTCTGTATTCTTTCATTTCAGTGTGTGCAGTAGCAGTCAGAAATTGTTTGGAGTGTCAGCAGCAGCATGCTCTAATGAAACCTAGTGGAGAAAATGTTAAGTGTCAGAAAACAGCACAAAGCCTGATAGCGGCAGGAAAGTCTGGAGCAAAGGCAAGTATCTTCTGACATTAAACGCAGGCAGATGTTGATACTGTTATCTCTGTAACCTGATGGATAAGTCTCTGGAGCTTCTTTAAAAAAAAACAGTGTAGTAACTGGAGAGAAAAATGTGGCATTTGAATGGAATGAAAATTCATTTTAAACTGTATATGTACTAATTCAGCTTATAAGTGCAGTCATTTTTCAGAGAAGAGAGAAAGAACAGAACCAAATATGGATTAAATACATTTTCTTTTTTCAAGTTTTCTATCACAGTGCAATCGTTTGTAAAATGTGTCTCCTTAATGTTTGTGCATACTGTTGGATACAATTTCATCTATAACATTGGTTTTCAACCTGTAGGTCCCCAAGTGTTTTGGCCTACAACTCCCAGAAATCCCAGACAGTTTGCCAGCTGTTAGGATTTCTGGGAGATGGAAGCCAAAACATCTGGGGACCCACAGGTTGAGAAACATTAGTCCCCACCTTTTTTTTGACCAGGGACCACTTTCCAACATTAGTGCCAAAAGGGTTGCAAATCATTTTTTGGTCAAATTTAGATTTGGTTTGGTTATTTGGGGTGCTGATTCAGAAAATTGCATTGGATAGACCACATGAGCTCTAGTTTCTGATACAGAACATATGCTATACAGTAGTTGCTATTTGCTTGCCCACAGAAAATCATATTTTATAAGTGTCGGCACTATAAGAGGGATTTGCGATCCCAGTTGCTCTCGTTGCAACAGTGTAGTATCGTTAAAAGATAAAGGTAAAGGTTGTCCCCTGACATTAAGTCCAGTCATGTCTTACTCTGGGGTGTGGTGCTCATCTCCATTTCTAAGCCGAAGAGCCGGAGTTGTCCATAGACACCTCCAAGGTCATATGGCCAGCATGACTGCATGGAGCGCCGTTAACTTCCCGCCAGAGGTAACAGCGGGTACCTATTGATCTACTCACATTTCAAGAAAGAATTACACATTTATTTCTGTTCTCTGGCTTATGGAGAGGAGGATTAATAATATCACTGATTCCTTCCTAGTGGATGAAGTCAGTGAAGTTGACAATGATCACTTAATTTATCGAAGAGCGATACTTTAATATTTTTATACAGTTTTAAACTGTCTAATTGTATTATCTGTGATGCCTGACTGATCTATTTATATCTTTTTAGCCAAAGTCATTTGATCTGTTTTAATTGTATATGTAAATGTTTTAATTTTTATGATTGTACACTGCATTGAATGTTTTTATTTGGAAGTCTCCCTGAGTCCCTTCGAGGAGAGAGGATGGGTTAAAAATAAAGTTTGTTTATCATCATCATCATCATCATCATCATCATCATCATTATTAATTATTATTTGCTTTTGTAATAGCAAGGAAGTGGTAAAATATTATTATTTTATCCCCAAAATAAAATGATTTGTAATCTGTTTTATTCTGAACAGAGTCCAGTTGATATTGTAACCGGAGGGATTTCTCCAATAAGAGATATTGACAGACTTCTTCAAGATATGGATATTAATCGGCTTCGTGCGGTGGTATTCAGAGACATAGTGAGTTACAAAACTTGATATACACACTGAATTTTGTTAATTGATTTTGTGAACCAATATAGTGCCAGAATCTATCTATGGGAATCAGGGCCGTAGCCAGAAAAAAAATTCGGGAGGGGTTGAAAATTTTGCGGGGGAGTGTTGAAAATTTTGTAGGGGGGGGGGAGGTCTGAAGCCTGCCTCCTAGCTCACGCTGAAGCAAAGAGCCCAGCAGGGGGGCAGAGCAGCCTTCAATAGCCTGCAGCTCCGCCCCTGTCAACCACGTCCACCAAGTCTGGCCTCCTTAATGAGAGCATTCAACACACACACACCCAATTTGGTTGTTTCACTACATCGGCTATTGCTGCAAGTAATGACAGTTTGAATAAATTGTCAATATTTGCTTGAGATAGTGCTTGCAGTTCTGGAGGGACTCTTAATTTTTTGCATCTCATAGACTAAGCATGGGAATTTGGTTAACCAGTTAAAATTCATGAGTAAACCAGGGTTTTTTAAAAAATCTGAAACATTTCGGGGGGGGGGGGTTGAACCCCTAAAACCACCCCCTCGCTACAGGCCTGCTGGGAATCATAAAACTCTGTGGGAAGAGGAAACCAAGATTTTGGGGTCTTCTAAAAGGCTTTAGCTTCACATAAAATGCTGCTCCTGCAAGTGGCTTCATCTTTATAAGCAGTGTCCCACTTTTGGACTTGGTCCTTGAGTTTCCCAATGTATAACTTTATGTTTTACAGCATACAGAAATACCCTCTTTATTCCTGATCCAATCTCTTATTATCAAATTGTTTCATTTAAAACTGTTCATTTGTTTCTGAAGGTTGATGGGCTTTAGAAAGAAAAAAATGTTACAAGCCATTTAGTTGTTAAAATTCACCTTTCTGAAACATGATAAAGAGAGGACTATCAAGACAAGGGTCCTTCTACTTTTCTTCTTGCCACTAGGCTAGAATCAATCAAACAGGTTTGTACTGAAGGATGTGATTTTTCAGATATTTTGTGTCCAAACTGTCCTAGGTTTCATAGATAAAAATGAGCATATTTGAATTGAAGTTTAAAAAAAGTTAAATCATCTATAAATTGCATGGTCTTGCTGTAACTTTAGAATCCTTTTTAAGGATATGCACATAGAGAATATTTTATAGTAATTTCAAGAAGAAATGGTGTCATAAAAATAGTGTAAACTGGTGCTGCAACTAATGCTAAATGAAAGCACTCTTTGCCACCACATCCACTTTATTTTCTCAGATCAGTACTGGAGCAAAGACCATCTCAAGCTGCAAACCCACTGTTCATAAAGACGGCTATCTAGTACACACTTGTCTTCTGATTTAAGACGTCTCTGGTTTCAGATAGTTTTCCAGCATTTAGTCCCTCGCTAAATCAAAGCAACCTTCCATAGTCCCATTGAACCAGTTTCCAATGTGGGAGGAAGGGCAGGGGGAGGAGAGGGGATGAATATCATGAGTAATGAGGCATCCCACAAATACTGGCTGATATTCCCAGGCAATAATTGGCACAATCAATAATACTAGGGCTTATGCAGCAGTTCCCAGTATCAGCATCTGAGCAGTTTCAGTCAAAACATTTTGGAATCACAAGAAAATGGTTTTGCAAGTCTCCCTGTAAGCCACTTACCTCTGAAAATACCAAAGACAGTGGTATTCAATGCCACTGGGAAGTCCAGCAGAACTGTGCAGCAGACCACCTCATCATTTGCCAATAATCATCATGTAGCAAGAGATAAAGGGCTTTTTCTATTGCCAAATTTAGCATAGAACTACATATAGGTAATGGTACAAATAACACCTAGGATGAAGTTTGAGCTACAGATGCTGTAATGTGATGAAGGTTCTGAATCGTAGAATCCTAGGTTGGAACACACAATCAAAATACTCCAGATAGAGGCCATTCATCCTCTGTTTAAAAACCTCCAGGGAAGGAGACTGCACCACCTTATGAGGTGACATATCCTGTTGTTGAGCAGCTCTTACCGTCAGCAAGTTCTTCCTAATGTTTAGGTGAAATCTTTTTTCCTGCAATCTGACTCTATTGTTCCATGTCCTAGTCTCTAGAGCAGTAGAAAACAAGCTTGCCCTCTTCTCAATATGACATCCTTTCAGATATTTAAATATGGTCCTCGTGTTTCATCTTAAGCTCCTCTTTTCCAAGTTAAACATACTCAGCTCCTTAAGCCACTCTTCATGGGGCTTGACTTTCATACCTTTTGTTTACCCTTCTCTCAACATCTTCCAGCTTTTCAGACAGATGATAACAGTTGTAAATGCATCATTAAGACATGCATATTTAAACAGTCCAATATAGGGAATGCTTGCTTAGAACCTTTGTCACTGCTATCCTAGTTTTCTTTGTGCAAAGAATTCTCTGTAGCAGATCATTCAGATTTCTATATTATTGTATTCTGCTAGCTCAGTATTCCTCCATGTTCCTGTACTGTGCATATAGACCAAATCTGATTAATAGCAAATAAGGACCTCATCGCATGGAGATCCATAATCCAGGGGATGGAGAGGGAATCAGTCTGGCAATGGGGCAAATTCATGGGGTAGCAGGGCAAACTGTCAGGCAGTTCCTTGCATCACCCCCATACCATCCCATGCCTTTTCCCGTCTCCCCCCAATTTCGTCCCATGCTGTCCCCAGTTTAATTTATAGGAACACAGGTAATCACAGTCTTCTCAAGGTTGCATCTTAGCATACTGCCAAGATACAGCATGTATGGAGCCAGGACCGAGCCCTGACGGAATAGCCCTGTGTCATGTAATGGGTTTTGTCCTGTCTGCATCTTGGCAGCGTTCTACAACAGTTTCCCCCTCCCCCCATGTGATGAGGTTCTTAAGGTCCCATAGATATCAAATGAATGTGTTCAGATAAAATGTATAGTGAAATATAGCAACTGTTTTTATTGCTTTGCGTGACCAAGTTACAAAACCTTTGAGCAATTTAAGTTCATAGAAAATAGTGGTGTGTGTGATGGAGTGTAGTTATTTTGTATAGATTATATATTTATTCCTAAAATATTTTTATATAGGAGGATAACAAGCAGGCCCAGTTCTTGGCACTGGCTGTAGTGTATTTTATCTCAGTCCTCATGGTATCAAAATACAGAGATATCTTGGAACCTCAGGATGAACGTAGGCAACCTCAGTCTGCTCAACCACTCAAGACAGCAATAACAGGTTGGTGACTTGGGTCAATGATAGTTTTTGTATTTTTATGTGGGAGTAAAGTCTGTTGAACACAGTGGGGATATTGTTTCATTATCTACTTGCTTGGGTATTGGATTACCTCTTTGCAGGCTTTCAGATGTAGGTGACCAGTAATTATTTTTCCCAGTGTGACATGGAGTGGTACTGAATCTGTTCCCATTCAGTATAATTCTTTCTTTCAAAGAACCTTCTCTAGTTGATGACTCCAACAACACCAGTCCATGGACTGCCATTTTGATAACATTGTTCTGTGGTACTGTTTGTAATGAAAGTCATCATATATAGCTTATACACATTTATTTATTTATTTATTTATTTATTTATTTACTTCACTTGCATACCACTTTTCTCACTTCAGTGGGGGACTCAAAGCGGTTTCCAACATAATTATGGCAAAATGTAATGCCTCACATACAGAAACCTAACATAACAATAATAGCGTATGATTATCAATTACACCATACAACACAACATCATTTAACATTAAAACATGGAATTAAAAATGTATCAATATAAACCTTAAAATCACACAATCCAACCATCGTGTGACATGGGTTCTTTTACTTTTTTCCATGTGTACAGGTTCAAAATGTTTAGTAGATATAATCCACTACCCATGTTAGAAACCTGCTGTAATTACTACTTTTAAATACTGAGTTGGCTTATGAGCCCTGAGGGATACTTGAAAACAATCACATAGAATTTATTTCTCAAAGATGCTGTTGCCTTCTTCCCAGAACATTAATTTTTAATATTTTTGTTAGCATTTTTGTGTGCAATTAAATAGGTGAAGAAATCGTCTCAATATTCATCTTCCAAGACAAGCCTTCCCTTGAAAACCATGATTCAGCATCTTATATATCTTGTTATAGCGTAATTCTATTTTTGGTGAAGAAAAGGAAATAGGATATTAGCAGATGTTTCTCAGTTGAAAATGCCATACACTATTGGATAATGATAGAGTGATATTTATTAATATTAAGTGCTGGGGTGACACAACTGGCTATGACTATTTTCAGTTCAGTTATATTTATATGTTTATCTGCGAAGCAGTGTGGCTCAAGTCAAAATGAAACCTACTTTTCCTGGATATGTTAACCAGCAGTGTCCGAACTACTATTTCTATGATATTTCTTCGTTGTGAACTTCCATTTATTGAGAAATCAACTATTTATAGTCAGCCAGCCATATTTGTTGAGTTAGGGGCACAGGACTCCTGCAAATGTGAAAAAACACAAATTGCTACTTTTTATCATAGAAAATATATATCTAGTTTCTCCAGCATGACTGTCATCAACTTATGCCAAATCATATTGGAGGGCCTACAGATTTTTAGAGAGATTCTCGCTAAGAATCTTCAGGTCTTGCAGCATGACTCTATGGTCAACTTTCAGAATCTAGAAATTCTTAGCAAGAACATTTTAATCAACTCCATGAGTAATGAAAAATTGAAAAGTCAAATCCACAACTGTGGAGTGCCAGCTATATTGTGTTTATCATTATTGCAGCACTTTAAAAATTGTTTTTGGCTTCTTTAAGCAAACTGATGTTAATGGTGTGTCTTCCATGTCTTTTCAGAAGCTGAAAGCCCACCTGGAGCTACTACTGCTTTAACTCCTGTACCTGCTGAGGAGTTAGAAAGTGTAACATCAGTACAAAGACGAGATTCGGGTATTGAGGAGGAAGCACCTTCTAGTTTAGAGCATGATTCCAAAGTTGTTACAGAAGAAGTACAGCCTGTCAGTGCAGGCCCAGATGCCGTCAGTGAAGTACTGTGTACACTTTCTTCCGAAGTTAATAAATCTCAGGAAAGTAGAAGTGAGTTGCAAAGTGAGGTGGACAGTAACACATCCTCTTTACAAGCTGCCAAGAATGTCAATGTAAAAGACATCCTAAGAAGCTTGGTCAGTGCCCCTGCAGGTGGGGCCGTAGTTGATCCTGCTATTCTTCCACCAACTTTTCTTGGCGTCCTTGGGGATGGTGTTGCCGAACAACCTGTGCAGTTTCAATCATTTGACAGGTAAGCAGCATTGAATTGTGTTTGATTCTTGTACCTAATGGTGTATAGCAGGGGTCCACGAACTTTTTAAACAGAGGGCCAGGTCACAGTCCTTCAAACTGTTGGAGGGCTGGATCATGATTAGAAAAAATATATGAATTAATTCCTATGCACACTGCACATATCTTATTTGTAGTGCAAAAAACACTTAAAACAATACAATAATTAAAATGAAGAACAATTTTAACAAATATAAACTTATTAGTATTTCAATGGGAAGTGTGGGCCTGCTTTTGGCTGATGAGATAGGATTGTTGTTGTTGTTGTTGTTGTGAGCTTACAAGTAGTTTCAGACTTAGGTTGACCCTGAGCGAGGGCCGGGTAAATGACCTTGGAGGGCCACATCCGGCCCCTGAGCCTTAGTTTGAGGACCCCTGGTGTATAGTATAAATATTTAAAAACAAATCTGATGTGTTTGCTTTTGCAATCAAAATAAAGGGTCACAGAAGGATTTGTTGAACTCAATCAAGTAATTGAAATCGAGATGAAAATCCTGTAAGATGCTTTGGGCAGATCACTTCACATTTTATGTCCGTTATTTTATTCAGTAATAATCTTAAGTATATCTAGATGACTCCTTCTTGAACTGTCCCGGGGGGGGGTCTAAGGGGGTTCCCTTAGATTATGAAACATTTGGCAATAGTAAAAGGTTTTTGCAACATAGTGGCTGTTTTTGATGTTTTCACAAATCTTTTACCAATAGTGTGCAGGGTTTACAGCAGACTCTGCAGAAAGTGTTTCAGCTCTGCTTCATAAAAAGGAAAATCAACCTGTTTAAGCAAGTCTTACAGATACTGATTTAACAATAATAGTTTGATTTCTATACCTATTTTCAATACCTATATATCCGAGGTTGTGTAAAACATTCTCAGGTGACAAAGTTTAAGGAACCCAAATGTAGATCTGTAAACTGACCTAACTGTGTAATATTGAGAAATTCAAATACCTAAATAGTGTTTTAAAATATTAAACGTGCAAGAGAGAATACATGTATCATATGAGTAAAACTTAGGAAAGCCTTAAAATATTCTGTTCATTAGATTATAAATCACTGGAAATTCGTAACCTTGATCATTAACTTTTTAATACATTTTAAAATATGAAGCCATAGTCCTGTGTTCAAATTAATGTTATGTTCAGCATGTTTTTCTTGAAATTATGTTTTTCTTTATTTCACATGTTAAATCACCAGTGATGAGGGAAATAATGTGACAAAAGTGACTTTACTTATGAGAAGGGTTTTGCTTTTGTTTTCACAAGCAAGTTATTTTATCTATATTGGCAAAAATAGAGCTGGGACAAAAGTAAAGAAGTTAGTGATGTTCCAGGAAAAAAGGTCACTGTCCTTTTCTTTTCTTTTCTTTTCTTTTTTTTTTTGAAGAAATGTTTTGTAAATTTGCCCCAAATTCTGTGAACTGAAAACTGAAACTGCATATTGAGTTCTTGCATAATGTATAGGCTGCTGGCAGCACTTTCAGGGATCATGTCTGCATACCCATAAGTGTGTGTATGTGCCTTCATATCACCTGTTGACTCATGGTGACCACATGCATTTTGTAGGATTTTCTTTGTCAAGAAAAACTCAGAGGTGGTTCTGCCAGTTACTTCCTCTGAAATATAACCTACAACACCTGCATACTCATTCCATCAACTAGTAAATATATCAGATAGTTTTAGTTGATTGATGTAATGTAATGTAATGAAAGCCAAATATTGTGAATGAATGTAGACCTGGTTTGTTGTTATTTGCTGTCAAGTTGACTTAGACTTATGATAACAAATGAAAGACCTCTATGGACTCTGTTCATCATTAACCCTCAGGACTGTAGCTTCCTCTGTCTGTCTGTCTGTCTGTCTGTCTGTCTATCTATCTATCTATCTATCTATCTATCTATCTATCTATCTATCTATCACCAAACTACATCTCCCAGGATTATATAGATTTGAGCCATGGCAGTAAAAGTAGTGTCGCACAAGACTGTATTCTATCTGTCTATGTACTAATTTATATACAGATGTATCATAGAATCATAGAGCTGAAAGAGACCACAAGGGCCATCCACTCCAATCCCTGCCATTCAGGAAGCAAAGCACCTAATATCATATGGAAGGCAGGATCACTTTGAGGAAGGAAGCATGCATTTTTTTAGAAGGGAACATTAATAACTTTAAGATATACAGATAACAGATTATTACTAGCAGGAAATAGGAAAGTCTTAGAAGAACTACTGTTGAAAGTTAAAGAAGAAAGAGCAGAAAGAGTATCTATAACTGACAATCAGAATAACAAAAATAATGGCCAGAGAAGATCTAAATAATTTTAAAGTAATAATTATCCCCGATTTTAGTTCACTATTTTCAAAGTTAGCAAAATATTTGACTTCAAGCTTCCAAGTAATAAGTCAGGATACATTCCAAACCTGTTAAAATGTTAGCAAGACATAAGCAGAGGGGAAAGAATAGTTATTTATCTTTATCATCTCAGTTATCTGCTTCTAAGGTTACATGACAAAATGAACAGAAGATCCATGACATAGGGCAATGCATTTTGACATGGTTTCTGGAGAAGAAGCATGTTTTTACCATATACTTTTAATACTTACCTTAAAAACAAAACCTCTAAAATGCTTTAATGAGCAGATGTTTCCAAAAGAAGTTTTACTGCACACAATAATGAATTGTGTAATATTCACTTTTTATGCTGTTTTTGTGCTGTTATGTTATTCTTAGTACTAACCATTCAAGTATGGATTCAATTTGTTTAATTTAACAGAATTGTCTTATTTATCAAGGACCATCTTTACAGTAATAGAAAAGTGTGTGTACGTGTGTATTTGTTCCTAAAAGGTTACAGAGGACAAATGCTGCACATAGGCTGCTAATTCAGTGTCTCTCTCTCTTGCCTTAATGAAAGAGTCAGATCAGGCCTTGAACTTTTATCAAGATAAATCCTTGGCACCCACTAATCACCAGATTGGATCTCCGCGTAAGATAAAAGAGTACATTTTTGGCATGGGAACAAGCTCACACACCTTGTTGTTTGCAAAAACCCACAAACTGGCAGACTTTCAGCAAGGTTTCACTCACATAGCTGTTACTGTATACTCTCCAGCTATGGCTGGAAAGTTGATAATCCTTAAGATATGAGGAGAGTTTTGATTTGTGACACAGCATTCCTGAGATAAATGCAGGATCAGAGAGATGCTTTGAAATTCCCAGAGATACTTTGCTGTAAAACCGGTACATGGGAAAAACTTTTAACAAGGTGTTTTCACCCCCCGCACCACCATCCAAAACATTGAAAAACATTAACTCACTGGGCTTTGTGCTCTGCACCAGACAATATATTAAATATAAACCAGACACACTACGTTCCACTGAGCATCCCGAAGTCTGCTCTTCCAAAGTTTCCCACTGTAATGTTAGTATCATGGTTAGTCCCTAGAGATAAAAAACTTTTTTCAACGCAGCTCCAGTTTCCTGAATAAGAGGTCATAACCTATTCCACCCACCATCACCCCAGAACTACAACAGACTTTTAGATGTCATCTGAAATAAAACATATTTTTTGCTCACTGAAGTGTAAAATGCAAAGGCTCAACCACTTTAAAATAGATTTTTTAAACTGCTGATTTTTCCACATTAGTGGAAAATGTAGAGAATTTTAATGTAGAGAATTCTGTACTTGAAAATGCATGCTGGCTCAAATTTGTTCACTTTTTGTACTTTCCCTAATATCTGTCATTTAGCAAAGCAAATATCAGATATGTATCACACAGGGCCTTTCCACACAACCATATAACCCAGAATATCAAGGCAGAAAATTCCACAATATCTGCTTTGAACTGGGTTATCTGAGTCCACACTGCCATATATTCCAGTTTAGATAATGTAGGATTTTATTCAGCTGTGTGGAAGGGACCCCAGACAAGTTGCATATCTATAGCATAGTGTAAATGCACCCTCAGACAAACCTTACTTAAAATTGGTGATACAACACAATTTTTCTTCCTGGGTTATAAATGTAATTTCTTGATTGGCTCTATCATTAAAACATGGAAAAATATTTATTAAACCGCAAAAACTTTTTCAATGAATATGTAATTTGTGTCTCAACCAATTCAACATAGTTTGTGGCATCCACAAAAACATAGTTTCTGGAGTATAAAAACTGGTTTCAAAGTCAGTACTGCACAATTAAACAGGAAAAACTTGTTCAAACAAAGAACAGATTTTTTTTCAAATTTTGTTATATATTTATTTATTTTATTTATTTCAAAGTTTTATATACTGACCTTCTCACCTCTTTGAGGGACTCAGACCAGTTTCCAACCATAAAAACACATACAATTGGTAAAACATCATAGTTCTTATTACAATAACATATTAAAACAACAAATATATTTAAAACTACAGTGGTCAGTCGTCATACTAAAATCGATTATACATCATCTTCCGATAGCGTTATTGAAGAAGACCAGTTTTTGTCTTTGCATTTTTTCCTCAATGTCTGTCTGTCTTTGAACTTGCTTTTGTTTTCACCCTCTTTTTCCATTGTTTTTGATTGTTCCAAGCATTATTGTCTTTTCTAGTGTGTTCCCATGATATATCCAAAGTAGGACAATCTTAGTTTAATTGTTTTGGCCTCTAGGGAGAGTTCAGGCTTGGTTTCCTCTAGGACCAATGTATATGCCTTTTTAATAACCTGTGAAATGTAGGGCTGAACTCTCCTCCAGCACTGCATTTCAAATAAGATTTTTTTCTTCCTGTCAGCATTCCTCACTGGCCAATTTTCTACAATCGTACATAGAAATTGGAAATACGATGGCATGGGGAACCCTAATTTAATATTTCATAATAGCCTCTCTTCATTTTCTACAGCAATAATTCCAAGTCTTTTGCTATTTTCAACTAGTAATTTGGTGTCTTGATTTAAATTTCCTTTGATTTCTAGGATCTTGTGAAGGGGTCTTTTGTTCTTTCTTTTTTGTTGTCATCTTCTATTTTTATGTACTGGTTACTGTAGAGTTCAGGGTTCTGACTTGACTCCTGTAAGTTTACATTGAACCTTTATGGCTTCATGATTTCACCTTGGCTTCAGCTCAGAGCCCTTCTGGCCCATGGTGAATTAGACTTAATCGTGTAAATTTATTTTTTACATTATCTTTAAATTGTATGGAGGTATTCTTCAGATTATATTTTGGCACAGTGGTGGATTTGGTGGTGTTCTTTAGCTTTACTACAGTTTTTTAAAAATATTAGAAGGTCATAGTCTGTGCCACAACCTGCTTCTGGTCTTCTTTTCACAGAGAGAACGAGCTTCTCCTTCTTCTGATTTCAGTTATATAATCTATTTGATTTCTGTATTGGCAATCAGGTGATGCCCATATATAAAGTCACCACTTTGGTTGCTTGAAGTATTGGTTTTGATGTATAAAGTGCTGGACTTGCAAATTTCAACCACTCACCCTCTTGCTTCATTTTCTAATCATTGCCCAGATCTTTCTACAGTGTTTGAGTCTGCTGTTTCCTACTTTTGTATTCCAAATGTAGGAAACAGTAGACTCAAAGATTGTAGGAAAGGTCTCTTTTGGTGTGTGCTCCTGTTCTGGTGTGTGCTCAATCTTCTCTTGGACTCTAGCACAGAACCTTTTAATTTCCTCTTCCTCCTCTTGCTTGGAATCAACAGGGTCTGCCTTCCGCTCATCAAAAGCAGGTGTAGATTATCTACCAGCATCATAATTCTGTCCCAGAAGTATATCCTGCTCTAAAAACGAAGTGCATTTGATAAAAGAATTCAGCTTACATTCAAAGACATACACAAAAACCTTCATATGAACTTCCAATCTCATGTCAGTCTTCATTTCTAGATAGGACAAAAATATTCTTACTTTTTAATATTCTTATTTGGCTATTCTCAGTTATAACTATACCATTTCAAATTAAATTAAAGCATTATTTCCAAGTATCCAAACATTGAATTTGGTAAAGGATGACCCCAATCTTATGTGTACATTTTATTTAAATCAGCAGTACCTTTTCTTAAATACTTGTATTTAGCATTGGAAGCAAAGCTCATATACTCAGATAATGTCTTCTGTACTCCAGTGTTGCAGTGTGATTGTATATGTACACATTAGAATAAATTTTGGTTAAAACATAGCCTCTTGCCTTGGGGCTCAGGCAGTTACTTGTGTGACCCTCTAATTTTGTGTATAGTTAATATTAGTAATGATGTACCATATTCTGCAACACTATAGTCAATACCTGTATGTAGAATACAGAACAATCCCCAAGCCTTAAAATGTGAACAAACCAAGAAAAATATACCTTTAAGTTAAATTTATAAACCTTTTGAAAGTTTTTATATTCTCTTGTGTTCGGAGCCAGCTTTAACATCTTATTTAGGAACTGTATACTTTAATGCTATTAAGGGAATACTTTAAATGTGTGCATACACTACTGTCAACAGAAGATGTGATTAAATAAATTGAATGTTGAAGACTTTTGGCTTATAGTTAACACCAGGTAATTAAAAGGAAGCACTGCTTTGGGAGCTTACAATATATCAGCTGTACTCTTTAGCTCATTAGCTGGGGTTTTGCATGTTTATGGAGGTAACTTGCAATTAAGAGTGTCTTTAGTGTATGTTTAACTGGGCCTTTTAGGTATTCAGAATAAAGCATTACTGTTTAATTGAAATTAGTTGTCATAATGATGTTTTAGTAATGTAAAATTGGATTGTTTTCCCTGATGCCTAAAACATTGAACTCTATGTTATATCACCATATATATACTAATATGTGAGTTAGACCATGTTAGGTAAAAACAATTACAATAAGTTACTTAAGAATTGAATGTTCTAAGTTCGCATTGTTAGACTTGCCCAGTTCACCCTCATTTTGAACATAAACCACTGTGAACAGAACCGCTGTGAGTCGCCTTCGGGCTGAGAACAGCGATATATAAGTAAAGTAAATAATAAATAAATAATAAAGCTCTAGTTCAGATGAAACTTATCAAGCATGAAATATTATTGCCTCCCATAGTGGCATACTTTTTATTTGGATCAATTAGTTTTGATTAATAGTGCTGGTATTTATGGAAAGTATATCTTGGTTTTCTAAAGCATAGTCTGATAAAAGCAAAAAAATGCTGTATGATCTATTCAACCAAAATAGCTACAAAAATCAGAAAATTGCATTCTACAGTAGGCCAGGCTTAAAATAAAACATGTTTAATGTGTTTTCCTCTTCACAGGAGTGTAGTTGTGGCACCAAAGAAATCGGTGGCTTCAACTACAGCTGCAGTCAACATGCCCACAAATGCTGTCAGTGTGGTTTCTTCTTTGGATTCTGCCCAAACTCCGGACGTAATCAGAGGATCTCCTGGTAAGAAGGAACAGAGACAAGTTCTATAAAATAAAATGGCAAAGAAAGAGATTGACAGTTCACACTAATTGCCTCCCTAAACTTGGGATACTTTAGATGAGAATCAAGTGAAATAAGCGTAAGTCATTAATATTTATGCAATTTCTTTGCAGTGTTCAAATTGATTGAAAGAATAGTCATTCTTCCACAGGCAGAAGTGAAGAGTCCTAAGAAGACACTTCTGGTAATGCCAGAATTTGCTGCCATATGTCATTTTAAATCTGAACTTATAAGCTTGTCGGCATTGAATGTTTGTCATATATGTTGGAAACCACCCTGAATCCCTTTCGGGGAGATAGGGTAATCTACAAATAAAGCTTTGTTGTTGTTGTTGCTGCTGCTGTTGTTGCTGTTGCTGTTGCTGTGGCTGTTGTTGTTGTTCACAGACACAGAGAGATTGCAAAACAAGACAAGGCTTATAAGTTTCTATTAAAAATGGTGTTGGACAGCAGCTGAGGAGGCATCAGTGTGATTGCCAGACACATTGCCTGGAGTGCCTTCTTGAGGCTCCCTCGTCTCTTTTTGAGGTTCCTGCCTGCTTTTGTAATGTTCAAATTGATTGTAAACACCACTTTTACAGAAGAAGAACCAGATTTTCTTGCACCCTCCCCCCTATTCAATTGTGCAGTATTATCTGCATTTGAATCCACAGTGAGTTGGATTTGTGGGTCATGAGCCATTGAATATAGTAGGCCTCCTGTATTGTTTTGAGTAAGACTTGAACACATGAGCTATTTCTGGATTTTATATTGTCAACATAATGTCAGAAAGGATCTTTGTCAATTTGGTGGAAGGAGTTGTTGATACTCTTGGTATAGAACCACCTTAAATATCTCCCCTCCCTACCCCAATAATGGAAATTCATTTATGCTTTCTAGTTTTCTTCAGGGCCCCATGGTGGCATAGCAGGTTAAACTGCTGAGCTTCTGAACTTGCTTACCAAAAGGTCGGCGGTTCGGACCCAGGGAGTGGGGTGAACTCCCACTTTTAGGTCCAGCTTCTGCCAACCTAGCAGTTCAAAAACATGCAAATGTGAGTAGATCAATAGGTACCACTTCTACGGGAAGGTAATGGCACTTCATGTGGTCATACTGGCCATATGACCTTGAAGGTGTCCTTGCACAATGCCGGCTCTTTGGCTTAGAAATGGAGATGAGCACCACCCCCCAGAGTTGGACACGACTCAACTTAATGTCAAGGAGAACCTTTACCTTATCTTTGCTTTTAGTTTTCTTCAAATGAATAACAAGAAAAATGTTCTAGGGCTCTAAACCCAGGTAGACCTCTAAAAGCATCTTAAAAAGAAGATTCAGAATGCTGTTAAGATGATTTTGATAGAGGATGTCACTTATCATTAGTCACATCGCAAAATAATCAGTAACTGATTCTGGTAAGGCCGTATGAAGTAGTTTTCTGATTTTTGACTGTTGGCCCTTCCACCTTATATTTCGCATTCACAACAATTCCCTAACATCTCAGGGAGACATTTCAGCAATTCTGGATGTTGAAACAGAACTGTCTGTTGTAGGACAGGTGCTCTGCCACTAAGCTATGACCTTCCCGTGTTGCTTTTCTTTTCTTATGCAACCAGTCTTCAATGACAATCATAGTAGCAATGGAAGTTATCTCTAAAGAAACAAGAACATTTTCCCAGCACAAAATAAAGAGCATCTAGTGGTGGAGATGTAAGAAAGATACTCGCACAACCAAAATCCAAGGTGAAGCAGAGGTAGCTTGGCAACTGAAGGAAACCTATTTGGGTTTTCTTGATAAGATTTATTCAGAAGGGGTTTGATTTTACCTTCCTCTGAGGCCAAAAGAGTGTGAGTGACCCAAAGCCATCTAGTGGGTTTCTATGGCCTAGTGAGGATCCAAACCCCTGCCTCCAAAATTGTAGTCCAACATTTAAACCACTAAACATTGGTTCTCCAAAAATGTAGCCTATGTCTAATAACTTTTATGGCAAACAGAGACAATAGCGGCCCTGTGAAGCTAGGCTGGTATACAGTGATTTTTCCACAATGTTGATAGACAGTTACAGATGTCTGAACGCTATTCTTGAATGCCTATTAGGGTTTTGCAGCAAAATAACGATGAGAAGTTCCCAGTTCTCTTCCATTCTCTTTGTTTCTAGCACACAATATTGTATAGTGTGCTATAGGTTTCCTTGCTTAATAGCTTCATTGTTTGCCACGTAACAGTATTAATTCATTACTTAACAAGATGTTCCTTCTAAAATCCTGTTTCTAAACCTGGACTTTGTTAGGAAGGGAGGAATAAAACCTGTTTTCTAGTAGCTACAGTCTTGTCATTAAAGTGCACAGTAGGTATCACTTTCTTTGCATATGTACATCCAAGTGTTTTGGGAGAAGCACTTCCTTTTAAGGACAGTTTATTACTAGAGACATTATTTGTTTAGACCCTTGGGGACCTTGAATAAACAATAAGCTTTCACTAGAAGGGTGCTAGACAGATGATCTATTTGCATTTTCTTTTATGTCCTTGCGAACGTCTGTAAAACTGTCAGTTTGAAGGAGCCAGTTTATCAGTGAAAGGATAAGAGAGATAAGTCACTTTGGTTCCACATGTTTGAAGTAGCTACTGCACTTACTAGCATGTGTGCTTTAGATGAAAACATGCTTCTGAAAGTGTCTTTTTTCCTAAAGCCATTCCTTTAATGAAAACTCAGTTGGAAACTATACCTCATGCATTCATCTAGAGCATTTACATGAAATAGTGCTCTGAAGTCACTTACATTGGTTAACTGGGGTTTCGGTTTAAGGAATCTGACTTTGTAAAAAAAAATGCATTCTTTTGGATTACAGTTTCTAAAGAGGCTGAAGTGATGGCCCTTATGAAAATATTTTTATCTACAGGAGAATTTTGAGGATATCTTGTGCACCCAATTGAAAATGTTATATCAGTGCAAAACCTTAAGAGGTCTGTTCAGCAGTGACCCACGAAAGTAATTTCACAGAAAATTCATGTCTGCTTGCTCAGCTTTGTAAAGCATTTCCCTCATATTCAGCTCAATAATTTTGGTCATTCTCGTATATTTAAAGCAGGCAAAATTTACTTATTTATTTTATTTACATGCTGCCACTATAAAATTTTAAGTGGCTTACAAAACTGATTAAAACAGGACATAGTTAACTGCAATACGTTTAATAAATATCATACCAGAACTGAATTAAGAGTAATTTAGATCATTTAAAACATTACAGATTTAAAAAGTATGTCTCTTCCCCCCCCCCCCCCCGCTTTTTAAAGTTTCACAGCAACCAACTAATGTGAAAAGGTCACTGTATGTTGGCAGAGAAGGTTCCAACTTAGCCTTCCATAGAAAGTAATGGCACAGTTTGTGCACAGTCATTGAGAAGGCCTTCTGATGTGTCTTCACGAAACATATTTGTTCTGGATATGGATCCGAGAGAAAGCTTCGTCCCAAAGGTTGGATCTCAAAGTTCAAGCAGGCTCTTTGGGAGAGATATAGTCTTTCACATAGTCTGGATACAAGCCATATAGAACTTTATAGGTCATAAACAGTTTTGTCAATAGCTGGTGAAGATATCAACACGGCTGTTACATAGTTCAGGTACTAGCCTTGGTCAGCAGTTTGAGCCCACTGAAGTTAGAACACTTTCTATAGTCACTCCCATGTAAAGATTAAAGTTGTCTCTGCCCTATAACCTGGACAGAAGCTAGATTGAAATTCAGCTCAATAATCCATATAATTCAGGAATTCCTGCAGATGGAAAGCAACAGCATGACCTATAACAGGTTATTGATATTGACTGGTAATTATTCATTATTATATGATTCAGGGAGAACTTATTCAATAAAATAGTTTTCAGTGTCTTATTTAGATAGGGTGGAACAAGGCATTGGCTTTGGCTTGGCTGAAAGGCAGAGAAATAAAAGACATTTGATAGCTCATTCCCTTCCAAGGATCCTGACACATCCACAGACAGCTCAAATTGAAATATTTTCAATAACAAGGGACAAGGAGATGCCAAAGTTATGTTCAATGGAAATGGGCAATTCCTGTAGCCGAGCCAGTGTAGATCAGAGTAATGTTATCTGCAGTGTGTGGTAAAAATTCCTCACACCAAACTATCAAGTTGTTTGTGTTTTCTTCTTATGGGATATAAGAAGATCTAAGCTGTATGGATCCATGGTTTTCCAGGCTCTCTGAAGTGAAGGGTTAGTTTGGGGGCAATCAACATCCTATAGTTGTTCTTTCTCCCACAGCAATAGAACTGTCTCTCTATTCTGTATTTCCTGTAGCTTGTTGCAATTCTAGTGGCTGCTGTCTTGTTGACATTCTCCCAGCAATCTCTGTGAAATCCTTCATTATTAGCTGCTGTCCAGTTTAAAAACAAAAAATCTGATACTCCTTTGGTAAGAAGTAGAAATAGCTTCCTCACCTAGAGAAATGAAAGTCTGGTTCTCACCCATGAAGAAATTTCTACAAAAAGTATCACTGTCCTCAGCAGCCTTTTTGGAGACTCAACGTACAAGTATTTTTTTCCTCTTCTGGGGATGGGGCAGGTGGAAAGTGGCTAACTCACCACTAACTGATCTAATACCTACAACAACCCAATAAAATAATTCCTTTATATTTATAGCTTGTCTTATCCTGGAGGGTCAGGGCTGGGAACAACCTAAAAGCAAGAAAGCCAATTAAAACATATTGCAGGGCTTGTTGGATTTCTGAACTTTGTAATAGCTATTAAAAATAGGCCGACTACAGAGGGCGTACAACTCCTCTGTTGCAACAGCTCCACTGGCTGCCAACATGCTTCTGCACATAATTCAGAGTGCTGGTTTTGATATACAAAGCCCTATATGGCTCTGGTCCAGGTTATCCGAAGGACTGTATCACTTTCTGTGAACCTGGTAGATGTCTGCAATCTACTAGGAAGGGCCTTCTCTTTGTCCCACCACCTGCTCAGGTGTGTTTAGTGGGAACACTGGAGAGTGCCTTTTCAGTGGCTGTGGAACTCTGTCTCAAGAGATACCAGATGCCAGCCTTCTTGTTCAAGACCTTCTTGGTCAAGACCTTCTTCTGTCAGCAGGCATTTGGGAAATGATAAGAGGCATGCTGCTGGAGAACTTTGGGTGGGATTCGGCGGGTGTACGTGAGCTTCTAAGGCTATTTGAAGTATATTTATTACATTTTAATCTGTTTTACCTTAATCCACACTACTATTTGTTTTTTAACTTCTGTATTGCACTTTTAAAACTATGACCAAAGTGTGGGACTGTTAGCCACTTTGCGTCCCCATAAGGAGGAAGGTGGAGTATAATTAAAAATTATTATTATTATTATTATTATTATTATTATTATTATTATTCTTTCTGTCTTTCATAAATATAAAAACCTCCTTAAAACTGACATAAAGATTTAAACTTGGCTATCAGAATTCCCAGGCAAGGTTGTGTGCTGATTGTTTCAAATTTACTAATGTATATACGTAGATAGGTTTTGCATCTAAGCCTTTGATGCAGAAATCATTTTGCAGTGCACAGATCTTCTCGACTGAATAATTGGAAGGAAGTAGGTGAAATGTATTTCAAAACATGTAAAAATTAATATTGATTGTTTTGCATCTGTATATTGGGTAGTTAATAAATTAGCTTGAAATTGTACCCATTAGTTTTACCTGTATCCTTTACATATACAAATATAACTATAGCTCACTATAACAGAACATGTGCTTTTGTTTGTAATAATGTTTCAATTTGTGGCCCCTCTAGTTAAAAGCATCTTGGGTAGTCTGACTGGTAAAGACCTTTGCCAGTGGCTATGAAAAGCTCCTATCACTCAGAGTAGACTATACTGAACAAGATGGATCAATGGTCTGACATGGTTTATAGTCACTTCATATGTTCATATGCTATGTAAATTATTAACACAATTAATTTTGCAGGCAGTGGATCATCGAATTCAAGGTTACCATCTGTTCCTACAGTTTCTTCTGTGCCTGAGGATTCCGCTTCAAACATGAGGTATTTTTTTAAAGCAGTGTGAGTTTTTTGAACGGAGGCTATCACTTTCCTATTTATTTAAGTAATTAAGGGATTCACTCTACACTTCTTTCTTCTGAGGTCAGTAGGAAGTTTAGATTTCTATCACTACTACTGTAAAGCGAATGAAAAAAATTAAATCCAGTGGTGATTGACTTATTGGCTTAGTCACTCTCACTGATGCATTTTGTACACTGCATTTTTTCTCCTTGCAGAATTTTAGATTTGTTCTTTTAATTTTGTCTTTTTCTTAGTATTACAGAAAGACTTGAGCATGCTTTGGAAAAGGCTGCCCCTCTTCTGAGGGAGATATTTGTGGATTTTGCTCCTTTTCTTTCTCGTACGCTTTTGGGTAGCCATGGGCAAGAGCTACTGATAGAAGGTACAAGTAAGTTTCCATTTTCAGTGCCTTTTAAAGATTAAGTAGTTTTAATTTTAACGTTTAAAAAATACACAGTTTGACACTGGAAGCTGACATCACTATTTTAGTTACTTTTTAGCTACTTTGAATCACCTAATGTTCATACTATCTGAAAACATGTCTATAGACCTAACATTAAGAGTTACATTATAATTATGGCATTGTTTTTCTACTGCTATCGTTCCATAGAGCCCCTTGCATGCATCAAGTGTTTCTGTGTAATATAGAGTGGTTGGAACAATCAGATATTGTTTCAGAGAGTTTCCAGCCCTCAAGTTCGGTCTTTCATACGGCCTCATCAGACAGGCTGCTTGGCCTGAGCTATGCCACTTGTTCTCCCCTTTCAGGATGGAGCCCATTACATGATGCATGTGTACTTCTGGTCGGGGTCCATCCAGAAAAGGAAGAGCAAGTGGAGTATGCCACAGCCACGGCAAGATAGGAGTCTTCCCGTGTTTCCTTACCAGCAGTGGGGGGAAGCCGGGCAGCGACACTTCCCCCCATGGGGTGGAGGAAAAGATAAGTTGTACAATACGGGTTGTGGAGTGATGGCTTCTCCATGCCCCTCGCTGGGAACTCATGGATTCACCACAATGCGTGGCGAATCCCTGGGTCTTTGTGATTAGGTCCATAGACTCAAGCTGAGGATAGGGAAAGTTGAAAATCCATTATATGTTTAGTACCACTGATGGTTGGTTCTATCCCAGCCTCTTAAATGCTTTAGGGCAGGGGTGGCAAACTCTTTTTCACCTAGGACCATATCAGCCTTATGGTTGCCTTCAAAGGGCTGATTGTAATTGTAAGACTGTATAAATGTAACTATGTTGCCCTGGCATTGAAAACCCCAAGGGACAGATAAAATGATGTGGCAGGCCAGGTTTGGCCCGTCTAATGAGCCACTCTCTTCCCCCTTTCACATGCAAAACTTGATGCCAGAGTTCAGGAGAAGCCACTTACAGAGCACAGAAACATGAAAGGGGAAAGCATTTTCTAGAGAAATAGGAGACCAGGAAACACACAGTATCCCTTGAACATCTGAGATTGATTTAGAGAGAGACTTGGCTTACAACAGAGTGGGCAGATGGTGGTCTTTTGCAAGGCAGCACTCAAATAGAGCCTTAGGAGGCAGAAATCATTTGTGAACTAGACAATCAAGTTCAAGCTTGTACAGTCTTGGTGATTTAAAAAATAATATAAGGACTCAACTGTATACCTTTTTCCTTGTGAGTTTTGATGTCCAGTTTCTGTAATTTTCCTAACAATTTGTACTATGCACCAAAAAAATCTCCCTTTCAGAAACTTACTCTTAAAGTATGGCAGCCGAGGGGCATTAGCGTGCTCCGCTTTTACATGTGTTTTGCGCAGTTTTGGAACACCTGCTTATCACTTCTTTCTTGTTTCAATGCAAATGGAGGTCCATTAGAAAAACCTAGAAGCAAGTGTCTCAGTGCTGAATAAAAGTATACTTTACTCTTATCACTTAGCATAGTTGTTTTTGAAATAGCTTTCTATGCACAACTTTGACTGGCAGAATAATATAGTATACTTGGTGTTTCAAGGAAGAGTCTGGCAGCAACATCTGATTGTAAAGATGTTCCCATCAGTGTTTCTATAGTTGGTATTTCACAGATTAGTTATTGTATTAAAAGAGTTGAAGCAGCCACATTTTGAAGAAGCAATTTTGGGGCTATTAATAAATTTGACATGCTAACTTTTATTGTGCTTTTATTTTGTAATCATTTATGTTGCCCTGAATAATGATAAGATGACTCATAAAGTGAATTTTAAAAATCTTTTCTAAGCTTCATATTTGTTTAAAATTGCTCAGCTACATATAGGTTGAGTATCCCCCATCTGGAATTTCAAAATCTGAAATACTCCCAAATGTAAAATTGTCCTTATGGCAGATTGAGATAATGATACATTTGCTTTCAAATGGTTCAAAGTACACAGATGTTGTTTCCTGCACACATTTATTAAAATATTGTGTAAAATGACTTTCATGTATAAGATGTCATAAACTTAAACAAATTTGGGGTGTAGACCTGGATTCCATCTTAAAGAATAGCTCATGATCTGCGTAAATGCAAATACAGACATTCCTAAATCTGAAAAAATCCAAAATCCAAAGCATTTCTGGTCTCAAGCATTTCAGATAAGGAAGACTCAACATGTATTATGTGGATTACAAGGATACATATTTTTGCTATTATATAATGTTTCACATTTTTAGTGAATTTTTAATCCATCATTTTATAAAAATGATTCAATAACATATACTCCAGTCAGATGATAAGACAGATGCATACACACATTCTATTGCATTGCATTGGAAGTCATCAGATTCTGAACAGTATTTTTAGGCATGGTTGCCCTAGAAAAGACTCATAATTGTTCCTCTATGAGAGAATGAATAAAATATCTACTGATGGTTTCATCCATACTTTCCAAAGATTCTGTAATCCAGTGAATATCTGATTTGGCTTGTGTTATAAGTTTCTTATTATTGATTCCAAAGAGCAGCAAAGAAAACCCAGTTCTTCAGATGTTGAAGCACAGATTAGTAAAAAGAACCTCTACCGTCCAAGGCCATGAAAATGCCTTTGAATGTTATAATAGGAAAATAGCATGAAGTGTGAATTGCTAGTAATAACCAAATTAGTTCATAAACTAATCACAAATGTATAGGTTACAGCTTGCACTCCCCACCCCCACCCACAAGGTTTAGGTGAGGGTCAAGGGTCAAAGTACTAATAAGAGTGTTTGGGATGTCTGCTGCCATGAAACAAAATGGAAACTTGATTGATAGCTGGAGGGCTGAAGGGAGAGAGCTCAATGGAGAAAGCAAAGGTCATAGAGCCATTTCCCTTCTCTGCATATATAATGATCAATCCACTCCAAGGTGAAGAAATGTAAGTACTATAAATCAATATACCATATGCTATGTAAGCTTTTATTAACTTGAAACACAAATATTTATGTAATGTCAGTTAAATAGCTCCAGGGCATCTTTTTATATCAGAATTCTCTATGACAGTGATAAAAATGATGCTTGCTTTTAGCACATTTCATACTGGTGTATTAGCATTTGGATGCTAAAGTACAGTGAAGCTTTACAATTTATTGTTTTGTTAATCTACAAACAGTAATAGTACTAACTGATCAGAAATATTAGAATACAGTATGTTCCTTTTCAGCAAATATCAAAAGGTCGTAAATATAAGGATGGCAAAATAAATACAAGTAGATCACTGAATTATTTTTTCCTTTCTTTTTAGGTCTTGTATGCATGAAATCCAGTAGTTCTGTTGTGGAGTTGGTTATGCTGCTTTGTTCTCAGGTGAGTTCCAGTTGGTCTGAAATTGATTTGGCATTTGGGGAGGGGAGGGGGAGCTTCATGAATGATACGTTACAGTTCTGTTCATAGCAGAATGGATTCACCTTTTTGAACACACTCTTAGCCTAACTTGGATGATGTTACTTACTTTTACTCCCCTGCTGTGGTGGTCTTCATTTAGAAAAAAAAATCCAAACCAAAATTAGTGATCATGCAGTTCCTGGTCAAAGCTACTTGAAGGTCTTCTGCCTGTCGAAGATGGTCACTTTTCAGAAGGTTTCCAAAATATGCCATCCTCCCCATGTGTTGAAATACATCTATGATCATCCCTAGGAACAGTCATGCTGGCCATGGGTGATTTCAGTTGTCTTCCAAGATAACACTTTAGTTGTTATCTTAGAGATCTAGACAGGACCAAGCTGGGGATGGATGCTTCTATTGGGGTGGGAATCATGTGAACATCTAGATATTGTTGGATTTTAAATCACAGGAATGCTACCCAGCATAGTCAATAGTAAAAATGTTGGGAATTGCATCACAACAACATCTGGAGAACTGCCTGATCATCAGTCCTGGCAGAAAAGTCATGCAATCAGCTATGTCAAATGTTCTAAAATAATTATTTCCTTTTAATAATACTTTAATAATTTGATATTTAGTAGTCAAATTCATCAAATAGAACTTCTGATATATACATAGTATCACAGTGTTACAGCAGTAATACAACTTTTGTATACAGCCATAATTACACTTATTTAAGGATACTTCATTAAATATGACTTACGTTAGTTGTGACTCAAATCTCCTTAATTTTTGTGAATCTCCTCTGAGCATGATGACATTTGGGTTAAACCCTATGTAGTTAATGGGGTTTAATCTCTCTTTATCCTTAAGCAAGTCTATAAATACCTGGTTCTCCTTACCAATTGTCTTTGACATATCCACACTGAGGAGAAAGAGTAAACCAAAATTGCCAGCTATTTGAATTGTTTTCTGATCTGTGAAATGTGAAATGTCTGCTGCTCTGGAAACAGTGTTTCACATCATTGTGATTAACAGAAAATCTAATCTGAAAAATTAGAGTTGTCAACAAACACTAGTATGTAGTACATCATATAAGCACACTTTACTCATCTTCTATTTTTTTATCCATTGTAATTATATTGGAGGCTTCTATTGAGTTTTTCGTTTTGGCCTTTTAAAAATGATACCTTCCTGGTAGTAAATTCCCCTACTTAAAACTTTAAAATAGCCTTTTTTAATGGGAAGGTTATTGGTCTGGAGGTCAAGGGTTTTGACCCATTTCAAAACCTTTGACCTTCATTTAAAGCTCTTATGGTTTACTTGCCTGACGAATAAGGATAATGCAAAATTAATGTTTTTTTACATCGATTTATTCGTTTTAGTGCCTATATTGCCAAATGTATTTAGACTGCGCTGATGGACATTTCATGAATACAAATGAAAGAATCATAGAAGGTGTGAAAAATCAATAACCTGCATTGACAATAAAGCGCAATAAAAACAATTACTTCTGGAGATTACACCTAATGGATTTTTACAATGAACTAGTGAAGAACAGTTATGGTTGTAGCTTATTATTCAGTGTTGCAGTCAGGACAATGTTAACAGTATTCTGGATTTTTCCCAAACACACACATAAGCTTGTTAGCATCTACAGTTCGATTCCAGTTGATTCTAATACAGCATTTTAATATTTCCATTGTCAGAGGAAATATAGATATGCTAGTTAAATGTAGTTGAAATCTTCTTTCGAACGTTATCTTTCAGTAAGTAAAATCTGCATGAATTGAAATGGTAGCTCTTAGTTTAAACTTTATTTTGTATTTAAATAATGTTTTGTGGGGTTATTTTTGAGTTTTGACTAAAAAAAAAAGCAATACGAAGTACAAATTGAGAATTGCTCATGTTGGAACTCTTCACGCCGGACATTGTAGGTGCTGATGTGATCTAAAACAGAGTAAATGACATGCTCTAATGTGCCTATTTGTCATACATGTCACAGTGCTGTTTAATGGAAATCTAATCAAGTATAGAATATGGTTGTGGATTGGCTGAGCTAGTAACAATAAAGTTCATTCTTTTATAAGAAACACTGGAAATAAAGCAGTACAGTAAACAGAACTCATAACACTGTTTTAGAGTAGCTGTGATATTTTCTCAGATGATGCAAAAGTTGTGTAGGAAGTGAAACTGAAATTAGCTCCAGATGTATAAAGATCTAATCTATGGTGATAATTACATTTTTCATTCTGAATTTTCCTAATTCAAAGAGGTCAGCATGGCAATCACAGGAGTGATTTATTTTCTTAAGAGGTAAACTGTCTGTTCTTACATGAATGCTTGAGAGATATGAAATTGAATTTCAGCTCAACATTTTATAGATACTGGGAGGAGATAGGCTTGAGTTTGATTGATTTTTTTCTTTTTGTGGGACTAGGACAAGGTGGGAAGTAAAGTGACCCTCTTGCTAAAATTTTAATTAATTTTCAAAAAAGAGATGGAGAGGATGGAGCGCCAAAGATCGAAAGATCAGGTCAAAAACTAGTTTTTAATCACATAAATAACACAATATAGTTACAAGTAAAGCATCTGTAAATATGATTTAGAACTTCACAAATTTGTCAGACATAATGTTAAATTATACCACTACTTGATTAATTTCTACCATGATACATACTTCATCATTAAAAATTGCTGGCTTACAATGTTATTTACTCACTTACTTTACCCTTGTTTTACTGTTTGTATTGTTTTTACAAATGACCATAATACAAGAAAAAATGTTAATCTTTTAAAAAAAATATGGAGGACTTTTCTTCATTGTTATACACCAACATCTATTTAGTGGAGCAGGATTTTACAGCCACCTCTATACAGTACTTTTGGAGAGTACTTTACTGTGTGCAAATCGTCAAGTTGGTTAAGATGGTGTTAGTAATTCCATCTAATGTCCAGCCTCATGTTCCAAAAAATCTCCCAGAGTCTTAAAGCGGTTTTAATGCACATCACATTCTTGGATTTAATATTGATCTTCATATAGTTCTATAATAACATAAAGAAAGTGTGCATTTCATATTAAGTTAAGCGTGTTTCAGCTTATTTGACATTAATATCATTTTTGAAAGAATCAGCTTTGCATTCAAGGCCACTTTATAAAAGCATTGTGTTGCTCATCCTAATTCAGTCTGACATACATTCCAATAACACTACCTCCCCTACAGAGTTTAAAGCTAAATTTATGGCTGAGTATTGTGAAGTGCATCATTTAAAAATGGTTTCAACCCAAAACATCTAATAAATAAATAATGTGTATGGCTACTCAATAGTAGACTTTCAGGACTAGAAATCATTCCATCGGATACTCAACAGTCCACTATCGTAGAGGGCTGTCAGATAAATCTTATAGTAGCTGCATTTATGTCCTGTAAATCACATGTTATTGTCTGAGCCTTCTGCCAGGTCATCTATTCTTTTCCCATTTATCAGAAATGCATACAGTACATTGAAACGAGAAGCACCATCTAGTCTGGCCCAGCTTCCTGTCCAAGTAATTAAACCAGCCAAAAAAATGAAATGCACAGTCCGATGCTCATCTTTGAATGCAACACGTACAGAATATATGTAGAGCCATTTATATGCTGCCCTACCATGCCGTCCTTTTATAATATATGGTCAAACCCTATGTAAAATAAAAACACCAACACAATTTTGCAGGGTTGCATGTAAAGATTCAATAGTGTGTGAGTGAACATTCTCTTGTGTACAATTATTTATTCATCAGATCTGTTAACTGAGCTGTGTCCTTGAATTAACTGTGCATTAGGTTATTAAAATGCAATATTTTGAAATACAATCCACACTAGAATAATTGTCTGGAAAATGTCATGTGCTTAGCATTTTAAATCTTCTCCTGAAATAAGAAATTGGGTAGAAGGAACTGGAAAAGGTTGTGAGATTACTTTGACAACTAAATAATAATAATAATAATAATAATAATAATAATAATAATAATAATAATAATTTACTATCATCATCATCCCACTTTTTCTCTCTAAAGAGAGAGCCAAAGTACCTTTTTTCAGAGTGTATTGAACCAATGAGTGGAACTCATACTGTTTGGGTACCCAAAATCTTTGCCAACAGTGGATCTGGTCTAATGGTGTATGATTACAGGCTGGGTAGGTAAGCATCTCTGACCTTGAATGGTGACTTTGAGCCCAACAGGAAAGGACCCCCTGCTGTTTATGAGAGGGGTTGTCTTAACAAAGGAGTTGGGCATCCTGTGGAAAATTATCTCAGTATTCCCAGCAGCAAAGAATGTGGGTCTGAAGGTGTAAGGTGCAGAGGGAGAGCAAAGTAGCCAAGGTGGTGGTGGGTCTCCAGCCTCGTGGGGTAGTCTCCAGCCTTGTGGGGTCTTGTTTGGCTCGAGTTGGAAGGCTTTCTCTTTTTTGCTCCTAAAGAGAGAAAGATAAACAGTTGCAACATAGTCAGGTCTGGTCCCCCTTCTGGACCACTAGTACCACTAGTATCATCTCACCTTGCCAATCCTGCATACTATCATTTCTAGAAAAAGCATGCTTCGCTTGAAACTGTAGAAAATATGAGGTATAACGGTTTTGAAAATCATATACTATCCTTTACCTTCAGACTGATTAGAATGGAAGGACACCTTCTGTATGATAAGGAGTCAGAAATTGTCACTGTATACGTCAATATAGAGCAGCAGGTCTACTTTAATACAGTAGGCTGTTTAAGATGCTGTCACAGCTTCCTATGACACTAACTGTGATTAAATATAAAAACACAAGTGTCTTGGAAACATATCAGTAACATAAGTGCTTCCTTATCATGAGACAATTTTGATCCAATGTATATGTTGTCTAAGTGGTCACATGGGTACCAAAAGCCCAAGTCTGTGGGTGTTTTTCATGGGAGTTAAATGGACTTCAACCACGTCGTAGGAATTATGCGTGAGTATA